GGGGGAAAAAAAAAAAAGAATCAACAACTGAAGTAATGAATAACTAATGCTGTTTTATGAAACAGTTGTAGGACCAGTGATTTAGCTCAGTGGTTTCGGCGCCTGCCTCACAAGCACAAGGACCCACGGACAATCCCTGGTACCAAAACAACACAAAACAAAAAACAAACTTATCATATGAAACATTTTGTGATGATTGGGTGGGAGTAGAGAGTTCTAAGTTTACCAAAAAAAAAAAACAAAAAAAAAAAAAATCACTGTTATCTCATTCCATGTATTTGTAGATTTTTAGCCTTCTCTCATCAGGTTGGTTGGTTGGTTGGTTTGTTTTTAATTTTAGTACCTTTCATTAATTTTTTTAATGACATACATGTTTACAATAAGTAGTATTTTTTAAACTGGATTGAACCCAGGACCTTCTCACTGAGCTATAGCTACAGACCTCTTTTATATATTTTATTTTGAAACAGGTTCTCCCCAAATTGCCCAAACTGGGCTCAATTTTCAATCCTTTTGCCTCATCCTCGCAGACTGCTGGGATTATAGGCATGTGTCACCACACCCAGCTAGACTTACATTTTTATTGCAGCAGAAAATCCCACAGAATGATATGATGCCTGGAAAGCTGAATTTTTTCCCCCTTTACTTTCAATTTAATAAACATAATTTGAATGTTTATCCAAGTTAAAGTCTGGATAAAATTTAGAGAAATCTCTTTTCCAACTCAAAGATGAGTTCTTTTTTCGCAATTTTTTTTTACTTTGATAGTGCGTAATTTCTAGCAACTTATATAAATGTAAATATGGAAGAAATCTCTTAAATGTTTGTATATTTATAGTCTCTGTCTCTACCTATTTCTCTGCCTCTCTCTCTCTCTCTCTCTCTCTCTCTCTCTCTCTCTCTCTCCTCCCCCCCCCCCCCCCCCTCTCTCTCTCTCTCTCTCTCTCTCTCTCTCTCTCTCTCCTGCACCACCACCCCCTCATTTCTCTGTCTCTTATCTCTGTCTACAGTGCTGCAGATCAAGTCCCAGGGCCTTGCTAAGCACGTGCTATACCACTGAGCTACATCACTAACCTTTCTTTTTTTAATTGGTCCTGCCTTTAATTTTTCAGTAAAGCCATCTCAGGATCTATATATAATTGAATGTTAATTAATGTGAAAGAGAGTCTCTAGGTATTTATACCATCACTGTGCCTTCCTTAATAGCAAATGAATGATTATGAGCAGCAGTAGGAGTTCCTCTCTTATGCATTGGTCATAACTATAAAATGAATTGTTAGGCCAGGTTCAGACTCAGATTTCTGTGAATTGAAAATTAAAACCTTTATTCTTTATTTTCATTATAAGTAGATATAAGGGCTAGAAGTATTTAAACTTTCTGATACAAATGTATACATGGAAAGGATATACCAGTAGTCCGTTGAAAACACTGGTTTATTTTTAAATATTGACATCACAGAGATAGTCCTAAGTGTTTTTCCACTTATTCTAACTGTGGGATACTAAGTTATTGGCAGGACAATTAACCACCCTTACTTTTAAAAGAACTAAATGTTATAATTTAGTTAAGCACATAAGTAACTGCATGATTCCAGATTTTTCTTTTATTGCCAGGATTAAACCCACATATAATTTAGTTTCTTCCTGAGATGATCCACTTAAAAGCAGAGGCACCAGAGCTACTTATTATTAATCCTAATTATTGTTATTATTTTTAGAACTTCGGGTCTACAAAAATCCAGCAGCCTGGGCAATCTGAAGAAAGAGACATCAGATGGGGTAGGTTCTGTGTTTTTCTTTTTTTCATTTATCCTAAGAAGCAAACGTTTAAGTTTCTTCAAATTTTCCCATTTTGCAAATAAAACTCATAGAAAGAGCTTGTTTCTTTCATGAAAAAGTCTTAGCTACCACAGTGTGGTTAATGATAAATATTATGTATGAATATAAACAATTGAAAATATTACATAAAACCAAGAACGAAGACTTTAATAAAACAAAAAATAAGTAGGAAACAAATGAAACTAAGATTTTGTAGCTTAGAAGTAATATAAATTTTTTCTTATTTATGAAAGTATATGTTATAAATTCAAAGCGTATACAAAAGAGTCCTGTAACAACCTTAAATGTTGTTGTTTTGAACAGGGAAAAGAGTCTATTCAGAAGCCTTCACAGGTAACTTTAATATCCAAATTAAAAATATAAAAATGTTTTTTACTTCCATTACATGTAATTGCTTAAATATCTCCAGTGGTCCAAAAATCTCAGACCCACCAAAACATTATGCTAAATCAAAGAAGCCAAACATGGAAGTCACATATTGCATGATTCTGTCTCTTTCCAGAGTAGATAATCTACAGAGACAGTGGTGTGAGGAGAGAAGAATGCATGATGGTGTGGGTTTTACTTTAGGTGACAGGACACTCTGAAACTGGATAAAGGTGGTAGTTGCACAGCATTGTGACTGTACTAAATGCTACTGAATTGTTCGCTTTAAATAGTTAATTTTATATTGTGTGAATTTCATCTTAGTTATTTAATCAACAAAACCATGAACTCACAATCATGCGATGTAATGTTCTTAATGATTGTAACTGGGCTTCCCTAAGCTTCACAGAAAGCCCTTCTAAATATTGTAGATGACTAATAATTTTATACAACCACTGTCCATCAGAGGCAAATGCCTTGGCATTTTTAAAGACTTTGTCAACACATTTCTTTTTTTCCAAGACTTTCATTCATGACCTTGAAAATGTTCCAGTTGGGTAGACAGGCTACTTCCAGGCCTAATCTTCTTTACTGTTGGCTCTCAGCCCTTGACTCATATGGAAACAGAACAGGAATACTGGAGACAACTATCATTAAGTTCCTTTTTGTTTTGTCAGTTTAATCATTGGTTAAAAGATTTTGACATCAGTGTTGAGACAGATAATAAGACCACTCTGTTGAACCATCCACTTTAATTACCATAAGCAGTAAATAGAGTAAAATCACCACCTTATATGCATGTCTCCCCTCACCTTTTTCTGAACCTCTGCAAAAAAAACAGAAGACAAGAGAAAGCTGGGCCTGGGCATTGTGGTACATGCCCATAATCCCAGCAAGAGGAGACTGAGGCAGGATCACCATAAATTTGAGGCCAACCTTGACAACACAGTGAGACCCTGTCTCAAAAAAAAAAAAAAAGATATTAGAGAAATGAGAACATGAAACCAAAAGCATCTTTGGGTAATACTAAAACAATATAGCATGCTATAACCCTATAATTGCCAGTTCAGATAACCAAAAAGCTCAAAATACACAGCTGCCTGTTGTTTATTATTCTTTGAGAAGAATGTTTGAAATAACTGGAATAAAATCTACTTATGTTGCGAATATAAAAGCTTAGATTCATGTCTGCTTTGTAGAATTATGTTTCTATTGATGTAGTTATAATACAAGAATGTGAATTGTGTTATAGTTCGGTATCATAACTGCTAGAAAAGTGAGAAATCAGCTATTACTAGCTATATTATATCTTGGTCAATGTCTTTTGAGGAGTGAGACAAAATTTGAGACTTTGTGTCTTAATTTTTAAAGCCCTAAATGCATATATTATAGATTAGTGATGGACACTTTTGTGTTGTTGCTCCTGTTAGTTTGTTTTGTTTTGTTTTGTTTTGTTTTGTTTTTTTAAGTAGCTTTCAGAATGGATTACAACAGTTATCGTTTTACACAAAGTTATAAATATGATTTGATGTTTATTATGAAGCCCCACATGTCCTAATGACTGTGCACATTAACACTCTGCTGCATCATTATCACCCTCTTTCAGGATAAAGTTCCAGGAGAAAACAGCATGTTTGGGAGTCTCCCTCCCAAAGCTGCAGGACATGAGGCCTCTGTGGATGACAACGCTTTTGGTACTCGAAAAGTCAGATCTTCTTTTGGTCGGGGCTTTTTTAAAATCAAAAGTAACAAGAGGACAGCAAGTGAACCAAACTTGGGTATGTATAGCCTAATCTTTCAGAAAAAGGAAAAGATTAACCTCTTCCCTTCCATTGTTCATTTATGTACACATTTCTGCTTCTCAGAGATGAAGGTGGGTGAAAAGTAAGCAAAAAGACTTCAGTGGATTCAATTTGGCACTGTGAACATATAACACCTTTCTCTGTCAAGCTCTGTCCTGTGGTATAAACAGTGAAAAGACCTAAAAATACGATTCTCTTTTGGTTCCTTTATAGACAGCTTCCTCTCTGTTTTAATAGTGCCTAAATTAAGCCCCTGTTGACAGCCCTGGCGGAGTCTGCGTGCCTCTCGTCCACTGTGTGTTTCATGAGGAGGAGTTTCTGATCTGTGTTTCATATTGTCCTCCCCTTTTGTTCTCTCGATTGGACTGCGTGTGATTGTGTGCATTGTTGGGATCTCGGAAGATCGTAAACGAAGTGCCAGTGCACCCACCCTAGGTATTGTACTCCTGCATGCCAGCCTTCACTAGTGCTATGCTCCAAGCTCATCTAATCCTGTTCTTGCCCTCTGTGATCTTTAGAAAGCAAGATGGCAGCAACCAGAAAATGTAGTTCTCCATTCCAGAGTGTTCTTTCCATCTTCTACTAAAAAAGGACTCCATAGAGCCTTTGCTTCCAAGCCTACATACTGTTTAGCCAGTGCTGCTGACATGTGGGAAGCTTTGAGAGCCCCTAGAGGTGCCTGGCAGCCCACAAAGTACAAGGCAAGAATGTCCTGGCGTTCTACCTCCTAGCTCTTTCTCCTCTGACACACGTATCATCACACACACTAACTTTCAGGCCCTTACAGTCCCTTAGTCATGGGTACTTTTTACCTAGCCCCCAAAAGGAAGTGTTTTTAGCCAGGTGACAAAGTTGTAGAAGACACTGGAGATGATAGCGTTAGACTTAACTTCTATTTGGGGAACGCTATTATGACATTTTATTACTTTGAAGATTGTGATAATAGTTATGGCAGAGATGACTTTACATATTATCAGGGGAGATTTTTGGAGAGTGGAAGTTCAGTTTTTTTCTTTATAGTGTAGTGTACAGAAAGAAAAATGTCCTCAAGAGACAAACCAATATTTTTTTTGTACCAGGTATTGAGCTCAGGACCTGGCATTTAGAAACAGGTGGCAAAACCACTGAGCTAAATCCCCAGTACCAATATAAATGAGGGTGAGCTGTGCAACATTTTCAGGAGTGCCCATACCCATTTTGGCTGTGGGCTGTGATTGGATAGAGTCCCTTGGGTTGTCCCAATAAGTGCTGTCACCTTATATATATACCTACCTGTCTGCTCACATGAACCAGTAGAAGTGACATGCTTTCTTTGTAATCTTCAGTATCTAGAATGAATGCTGGATACATAAACTGACCTTTTCAGACAACTATTTCAAATCATTTTCTGCATATTTCTTTCTTTATGTACTAGGGGTCAAACTCAGAACCCTGTGCTTGCAAGGCAGGTGTGATGCCAGTGAGCTAAATCCCAGCCCATTCTGCATCTTTCTTAGAAGAACTGTATTGTCATTGCTTACAGGCAAATGCTGCTTACTGTCACCTATAATCATAGCCCTGCTTCATGGAAAAATGAGCTTCTACAGCCTGTATATTTTGCTCCTAAGATATTTGCACAGCTTTTTCTTTATAAAGTATAAAATTTTATATTGAAACCACTAAGAGACATAAAATAACTAAAATAGTTCATCCTTGAGATGTAGCAGTGATGAATGTGAATATTTTTCTTTTTAAAGCACAATCAGTAGGCACTAATTTTATATCAAAAGAAAAAGTTCTACTTACCCAGTTAATTGCATTCCCAGTGCCTAAGAAATAATAGGTTGGGATAAATTTCTCAACAATATCCTAGTATTTGATAACTAATGTCTCTAAAAGCCAAAGGAGATAAAAAGAAAATGACAAAATTTGAACTGGAATAACAGGGATACTGTTACTTAATATAAAGTATCAAATAAAATAATTTGAGAGAAGAGACATTCAAAGATGTTGGGTGGATTAATTGAGTCCAGGAGGCCCCAGCACATTGAATTGACAATATGACAGACATTCATATATGAGGCTGGAGAGAGATTAGGCCCAAAGACTATGATGCTGCCTCCCTGTAATGAGTATGCCATTGTTTAGTGCTGAGCTTAGAGTGGTTGAGCTTTTCAGGAGATCCTTGCAACATCAGATTGGAATGGAGGAGAGAAGGTAAATGGGTGCTACAGCCAGGAAGAAACTGTCAAGTGACAGACCTAGGAGAGTGTTGCAGTGAGAGGATGGGAGGTGGGAGGAGTCCAGCAGTACCAAGTAGTAGACCAAGGTAGTGAAATTTTTTTATTATGAAATCAGAAAGGAAAAGAATGTAGCTATCCTGTCATACATTTAATCTCAAAAAAGTTGTGATCTTTAATTGTCTATAGACGAGTAAACTAGAGTAAAATGTACATTTTCATCTCACTTCATATTTTCAGTGTGTTCTCTATAAATCACTGACTTATAGACCAAGAGCAGAAGAATTCTTAACAGTTGCAGAAACCAAGAAGATTAATGATCATGTTCATTTCATATTTTAAATAAATCTTTATTCTGTCTTGGGATAGCTGAAACAGAAAAGGAGACAGCAGAGCAGCTGGATCTGGCTGGTGCATCTTCTCAGCCCAGAGATTCACAGGGAAACAGTACCTTCCAGATGTCTCCACTATCTCCAGATTCCAAAAAGAAATCCAGAGGTATCATGAGACTCTTTGGAAAGTAAGTGAAAGAGCGAACAAGTAGAGAGTCAGTCTTGTGTTTCATGTTACTCAAATGTAGGGAAAAGGAGGAATTTGGCAGAAAATGGGCATGAAATTTTAAGGCTTTTATGTGCTCTTATGGAAGGAAAATCCTGATTTGGAATCCATAAATTCACTGGGTCTTCGTATTTAAATTCAAATAACATTGTTAACTACACACAGAGAAGAATGACTCAAGTGTGCATACCAGTTTGAAACATTCTGATTAATTTTAAAGTCTAAGGCTCCCTCAAGTGTAATCATGGCCATATGTGTTGTGTTTCTTTAGACTTAGGAGAAGTCAGTCGACCACGTTCAACCCAGAAGACATGTCTGAGCCTGAATTCAAAAGAGGAGGGACAAGGGCAACTGCAGGTCCTCGCTTGGGTTGGTCTCGTGATCTTGGACAGACTAACAGGTAAGAACAAACAAACAAAGGGACTTTAGCATCTCTACCCAAGTATTAAGGCCTGTGACTGCCTATACTGTCAGCATCGTCACTGGGTTCAATAATCAAAGTCTGGCTAAACTACAGTGCCTGAGGGAAGGGCCCATCCTTTCTAGAGTGGTACAGTTTGTCAGTGGTTAATGATAAGTGCACAGAAGCTGAGCCCTGTGTGAGGCAGGTGCAGAGCCAGAGCTAAAGCGTCAGTGTTGGCTACATCTATACTGTGAAGGGAAAGGTGGGAGGGATTACATAGTAGTCAAAAGTAGGTCATAGGGGGTTGGTGCTGTAGCTCAGTGATAGAGCACTTGCCTAGCATGTACAAGGCCCTGCATTCAATTTCTAGCACCACACAAACCAACCCAAAAAAAGTAGATGCTAGAGAGACTGCTTGAATTTGGTTTCTGGTCTTTCTACTTCCTACCAGCGGGGTGACCCTGAGCAGTGATTCCCATGCCTCTGTTTTTTCATCATCAGCTTCATAATTAGTACCTACTTCAAAAGGTGGTTGTGAAGATTAGATGAGTTATTACGTGTAAGTAGCTGGCAAATAATAACTGTTCAGTAAACATTAAAGATTAATGGAGCCTGAAAGATATAAATTCTACCAGAGTTCTTAGATGTAATGTTTTACCTGTTAGGACTGTAAGATCTTTTCCTATATTCTTATCAGAGTATAGAGCTGATTTGGAGCCAACATTCTCATCTACTGAGCATGAAGGGGTGAGTTTGGCAAACACAGAAAAAAAGTGTTGATACTGAATCTTATAAAAATGTAGTGGGCTGAAACCTTTTCTACACCATCTTTCCTATGTAGGTGAGACACTGCGTGCAGCTTTCATCAAGGAGTCTCTCTTTGGCCTTATTTAAATATTCAGTGTTCTCATTTGCCATATGTTCTCTCTGAACGTAGTAAAGGACTTCCCTATGCTAAAGTGTTTTGTTCACTCTTTCCCGCACTTAAAGCATGCTATCCTCGTCTCTTGATTATCAACTACAAAGAAACCATAATTCTGCCAAAGTTATTTCATGGCTGATTTGAATTTCAGAGTAGATTTGCAACTGGATGTTTTCTGTTTGGGAATCTAATCTTTCAGCCACATTGAAATTGGTTCACTGACTTACACATTCTTTTTCTTCTTCTTCTTCTTCTTCTTCTTTTTTTTTTTGTTTTTGTTTTTGTTTTTGTTTTGTTTTTTTGAGACAGGGTCTCATTATGTAGTTGAAACCGACCTGGAGCTCACTATGTAGCCCAGGCTGGTCTTGAACTCATAGCAATCCCCCTGCTGCAGCCTCCCGAACGCTGGGTTTACAGGTGTGTGCCACCATGCCCTTTAGTCTTTTTACTATAGTCTGGTTTTAGATTTCCATTTTTGATTAGTACATGTGTGCAGTTCATCATGGTGCATTACTTATGGGGCATTGGCATGGATACGTGACACACTCTGGTCCCTTTTTTCACCCTCATCCCCTCCCCTCCCTCCACCCATCACTCGATGCCCTCCCTTTTTAAGTACATATTTGCAGTACATAAAGTTTGCACTCCTCGTGTGCAGTTGGTACAGGTACATGATGCATTCTTGCCAAATCACTTTGAATCTTTTGCAGTTTCATTTGAAACAAAGACAGTTATATTCAAACCATATTAAACTGTAGTACTTCCTCCTCGAAAATGCACTAAAAATTCAACTTTTCATGGCTAAATGTGTATTCATCAAGAAATTTCCATATCTCCTGAATGTACAGCTATTCAAACTAATGATAAGCCATGGAGTTGGCTTTAAACTTTGATGTTTCTCATAAAGTCCTTCATTTTCCTGTAGTGACTTGGATATGCCTTTTGCCAAATGGAGCAAGGAACAAGTCTGTGCTTGGCTGGTGGAACAGGGGCTGGGGTCCTACCTGAATTCTGGCAAGCACTGGATTGCATCTGGCCAAACCCTTTTGCAGGCTTCTCAACAAGATTTAGAGAAGGTGACTGCTTCTTCATTCACAGAATACTGAAAGAAAGAAAATATGAATGTAGAATTGTTTTTTATTCAGAAAGGGGTATGGGTAGAGTCACTGTTACAGACACTTGAAAGAGTTTGACTTTCCAGACATTTCCTGCTTATTTTGCCTCATGCACTGAAAAGGAAGGGCCTCCTTTGACTTTTTATGGTACACCTGAGCCACTGAACATTTCAATGACTTATATAGCCATAATAATAAACCTTAAGTTCATATTTCTCAACATCGTGTTATGGCCTTATTGACTTACATTTCACCTTTATTTTATTTTTTTGTTTGTTTGGTACCGGGGATCGAACTCAGGCCCTTGCCGCTTTCGAGGCAGGTGCCAGAACCACTGCACTAAATTACTGGCCCCTACATTTCACCTTTATTTTGAAAAAGGAAAAAAAAAATCACCCTATATTTTATGTCCCAATAATTTAACATTTTGCACAAAATAGTAAAATTTTTATTACGCATAATGCAAGTCCTATCTTACATAGAAAATGAGTCACTTGGGAATGTTTAACACAGCACTGAAGGAATTGTGGTCATCTTGGATCTCTAGAGATGTATTATTCAGTAATATTTCATGACCCCAAGTTAGTATTCTTATTTAATGTAGAATTGGATCTTCAACACTAGCATCGTTTTGGAGGAGTTTCTACATTTTTGCCAGTGCAGCCAGCCCGTGTGGGTAGAATTGTAAAGTCATTGTTTCTGTTTATTACATCAGGAACTTGGAATCAAGCATTCACTTCATCGAAAGAAACTCCAGCTGGCATTGCAAGCCCTCGGATCTGAAGAAGAAACTAATCATGGAAAGTTGGATTTCAACTGGGTCACTAGTAAGATGTTTTTATGTTTTAAAAAATAATAATAAATATTGCTGTCCTTTTCATCACAAAAAAGAAAAAAGTTTTGTGGCATGGCAGTGATACTGCTTTGTCTCTTTTAGGATGGTTGGATGATATTGGCCTTCCCCAATATAAGACCCAGTTTGATGAAGGACGAGTGGATGGCCGAATGCTTCACTACATGACTGTTGTAAGTGCTTCATCCTGGTGTTTGAGGAGAAAGGTAGTGGCCAGTTAATAACCTCAAGGATTTCAACTGTTATCTATCATTTAAAAAATATTCTTATGGAAGATTCTCTTTCCTCTCCTCCTCTTTTTTCTTCTTCAATAAGAAATATGTTGTCAGTGTGCCAATAGTACATGTTTCCTTGTTTGTTTTCTGGGTGAGACTGGTGCTTATCTTGACACTGCCCTTCAAATCACCTGAACACCTCAAACACACCTGCTTGGGTGTGTTTGATGTATTTGGAAATGTTCCCAGTAGCCACACAAAATTTTTCCTTGAGGGACTAATTAGTGATATGTGTTAATACTTATAATTTCTTCTTCTCTCTTTTCTAGCACCAACAACAAACAAAAAAACACAGAAAATAGATTCTCTTTTGTAATGACCCTGTCAGAGCCCTGGAATTGCATTCTTCTGTCAGATCATTTCAAAGGGAAAAAACAGTTGACAGTCAACTTTAAATGGGGTCCTGAAAGGATTTTGTTCAGAACAGGAAAAGGGGATTTGGTTACTAAATAAAGGTTTTGAAATCCCTGGCAGACTTGTGAAGCATATTCCAATGTTTTGCAACTTCCCTAGAAAGGTCCTGCTCCTATAGGCCAACACAGTTACTCAGTTAGTACTTCTTTCTGCTTTTTTGCAGGATGACTTACTGTCTCTGAAGGTTGTGAGTGTGCTGCACCATCTCAGTATCAAAAGGGCCATCCAAGTTCTGAGGATCAATAACTTTGAACCCAACTGTCTACGGAGGCGTCCATCTGATGAGGTAGCATTTCCAACGGAGTCTATAACAGCCATTTCTTATGTGTGTCCCTGTGTGTACAAAACTAAGACCCATTTCATCTTGGAGCCTGAAAGGAAAGCCAGTGTCTTTTGAACCTTGAATCCAACCATTTATTTCTTAAGCTTTGCTTTCCTGTATTCCTTCCTTTTTACCCCCCCATGACGGTTCCACTGTGTAATAAAAGCAAAGGTTTTTTCATTTTTTTATAGATATATTTTTGTGTCCTGCCTTCTTAATCTACATTCCTAAATATTAGTATAAAAAATTTCCTTTTTCTTAGTGTGGAAGAAAGCTTGAAACTCTGTGATATACGTTCTTTAAAAGAGAATTCAAGGGCCAGGGATTTAGCTCAGTGGTTCTGCTGCCTGCTTTGCAAGCACAAAGACCCGAGTTCGATCCCTGGTACTGAAAAAAATAAAAGAGAATTCAAATCAACACTTTTTCTTTAATAATGTGGGAGCCAGACATGGTAGCACATGCCTATAATCTCAGCATTTGAGAGGCTAAGGCAGGGGGACTGCAATGAATCTAAGAGTAGCTTAGGTTCCATAGTTATTTCAAGTCCAGCTTTAACTACATGGCAAGACTCTGTCTCAAAAAACATTTAGTGGGGTGTTAAGTCATAGTGCTCTGTAGGGTAGAATTCTAGGTTATACGTGCAGCTTTAATATGAAGAATCTTGTCAACAACAGCTGAAGTTCCTGGTGGTTGTTTGTTCCCACAGAGTAGTATTACCCCTTCTGAAGTTCAACAATGGACCAATCATCGCGTGATGGAGTGGCTGCGCTCTGTGGACTTGGCCGAATATGCCCCCAATCTCAGAGGCAGTGGGGTCCATGGTGGACTCATGGTAAAACTCTATTTTACATTGGCTTCTCATTTTATTTCCTTTGCTTGAATGAATGGGATATTGTAGGTTGAGCAAAACTGAATTGCTTCAAAATCTACAATCCAAAAGTCAACACCTAACCTCATAAAATGAGTTGCACTCAAAAAACAAGAGTACTAAAAACATTAAATAAAATTAATATGAGGTTATATTTATGAAACACAAATGAATTTCATATTTAGACGTGCATCGCACCCCAAGAGTCCTCATTATATATATATATACAAGTATTCCAAAATTTAAAAAGAAATCCCAAATCTGGAACATTCCTGGTCCCAAGCATGTCATATGAGATTCACTCTGTATCAGTTTATTTGTCATCGAAAGTCATCTAATCTAACCCTCTTACACTATTTCTAGTGAATCTTTACTTTCAGAATACTTTTATTTTATAAAACTCTAGATCAGATTTAAACCCATTTCTCCTTTAGTGTCCTCTTTCATGTTGAAAAACATCTCTCTCTCCTGATCACCGTTTAAAACCCTGGCAAGTATACAGGTTGTATTTTTCCACACTGATGTGGCATGAGGAGTTGGCTTCCAGAGGCAGTGCTCCAGAGAGTCAGAGGTATAGGTGTTACAAAACCGGAAGCCTAGATTATAGGACCAGCTCCACCACTGTGAAATTTGAAGATAAAAGTCCATTCCCTGTGTGCTATCCTGTGCTTTTCAGAAGGTCATTGGAGATAACCCAAATGAAAGAAACTGCAAATTGTGAAGGTACACTGCAAACATGGATGATCTCTGATACCTTTCAACATTTGTTTTTTACAGGTGCTAGAACCTCGTTTTAATGTAGAAACAATGGCTCAGTTATTAAACATTCCACCAAATAAGACGTTGTTGAGAAGACACTTGGCCACTCATTTCAACCTTCTGATTGGTGCTGAGGCCCAACACCAGAAGCGAGATGCCACAGAGTTACCAGATTATGTACTTTTAACAGCTACTGCCAAAGTGAAGGTGGGTTCAGGCTGGTACCATCTAATAAAGTGCACGAAACAAAGGCCAGTTTTTGCCTGGTACCTGCTATTCTGTTTCCTACTGTAACTAACTTTTGTGGGTAGATTTAAAGTGTGTGTATTTTTCTTTTTCTTTGTTTGTTGGTTTGTTCTTGTTTTTTTGAGATAGGGTCTCACTGTGTAAAGCTGGCCTTGAATTCACTATGTAGCCTCAAACATACAGCAGCCCTCCTGCCTCAGCCTCCCAAGTGCTGGGATTACAGACAAGTATGGACCACCATGCCTGACTGAAGTATGCACATGTTCAGGAGTAATTAAAATAATGAATTTTTGAAGGTTTCTGCTTAATCCATTTATCTTACTGGCATTAATAAAGAGCAGGATGTTGGCTTTTATAGCTGACGTATCCTCACTGCGGAGAACCTCATCTTGGACCCAAATATTAGCTGCAGTCTTGTTTTTCCTGTAGGAAAAGAAAAATTTCTCCTTGTACAGATTCACCTTTTCTGGCTTATATTTGGCCAGTTTTACAAGTTAGACAATGCTTCAAGATAGACAAGCAATCCATTCTCTAATGGATTTGTGGATTATATCAAATTCAGACTATTTTTTTTCCTTTTAAATTATTTGTTGGCCAGATGTGGTAATGCATGCATATTATCTAGCATTTGGGAAGCTGAGGCAGGAAGATCACAACAATTTCAAGGCCAGCGTGGGCTACGTAGTAAGATGAAATCCATCCTGAACTACATAGCAAGTCCCTGGCTCAAAAAAACCTAAATACCATTGGCACTTGCCTGGCAAGTGCAAGGTCCTGTGTTCAATTCCCAGTACGAGGGGGGAAACTAAATAAATAATTTGTATCGTAACTCTGCTTAATATGAATTATCTCAGCCACCTTAATGTGGAGGTAGAGTTTGTCAATTCTTCCAGAAGTGTGTGCCAAGTTCTTTTTGTTTGTTTATTTTGTGTTTACTCTGTCTATCTGGCTTTGAACCTCTTTAAAAGATATGCCAGATTTGAAGCCTTTGAGAAAGTTCTGCTTAAATTCTCAGTCATCTTGGTAATCTCAGGGACTATTTAATGGCTGAAATGGAGTTTCTCTTCCATGTATCACTAAAATTGTCTCTAAAAGAATGAGAATGCTTTTATCAGTTACCAGTCCTTCTGTGGAAGCAGAACAGACACAGACAGAATCACTTATCTTAGCCTGAAAACCCTTTCAGATTAAATTCATCCTGAGAAATCGTATTACATTAAGTCCTGTGTAATCAAAACAAAGGGTCTTAGCATATTTAATTTATCTCAGCGGCTATCCGGCTACTTTACGTGAATAAAAGGAATAAGATTAATCTTGTTATTCTTTCATATACCATATGCCTGGGTGCATTTTTTTTGTTGCGCAGGTTTAATCGAGTTACTTTTCCCTATGTGATGAGGTATATAATTTAATTATACATGTTATAGGTCCTTTGTAATATGAATTTAATCCAATCCATGGGTGTTTTTATTTACTTTTAAAGCCAAAGAAACTTACCTTCAGCAATTTTGGAAATCTGAGAAAGAAAAGACAGGAAGATGGAGAAGAATATGTTTGTCCAATGGAACTGGGACAGGCATCAGGAAGTGTCTCAAAGAAAGGATTTAAGCCTGGTTTGGACATACGCCTATATGATGAAGATGATTTCGATCGGTTAGACCGGGTAAACAAAATACTATATATGTCTCTTAAAGTGTGCGCTGCATTCAGACACTGACTGGAAACTTCATACACTATATCTAGCAATTGAGGTTTTTTTCTTAAAATCCCTCAAATATAGTAAAGTAACAATGAACACTTACAGATTACTATATTCCAGGTTCTGTGTTGTTATTTGGGTACGTAAACTGGAGCACAGAGAGGCTTAGTAGGTAGCCCAAGTTCTCCATGGAAACAAGAAAAAACTTGCCTCACTTCTGCTTACATTGTGTTCATTTTGCTTCACTATCCTTATTATCAAAATGATATCACGTGGTTTGTTCTTTGCAGATGGAAGATTCAGAAGGTACAGTGAGACAAATAGGTGCGTTTTCTGAAGGCATCAACAATCTCACAGTAAGTTTGCACAATGAATGGAAAATGCTCCCCTAATACCTGTGAACACAATTCCGAAGGACTGCCTGTACATTGGAGAAGATGTAGTTCTGAGCTCAGGACTTACAGTGTGTGTGACTTCCTGTCTCCTTGTTTTCCAGCACATGTTAAAAGAAGATGACATGTTTAAAGATTTTGCTGCCTGTTCCCCCAGTGCCAGCATTACAGATGAAGATTCAAATGTTTAACTGTGGAAACTGGATAAGCACTTGGAACCCTTAGTCTTTTTTCCACTTTATTTTTCAAATACAGTGTATACAGCATGCAAGAGATTGTATTTTGTTTATCGTCCTAATTTCGGTTCCTACAGAAGTAGAAATGGAAATTGGGAAATGTGCCTATTTAGAAGTTGCCACAAAAATGAGACACTGGTAAAGAGAGTATAATTGTTTTTCCTCTATTTAATGTAAAAATCTATGATATATTTAAAATGTTGCATTTAAAAATGAGTGTTTTACCAGTGTTTCCATCCACACCCCCTGTATGGAGGGTTTGGGGAGCAGTGACCGGTGTGGGAATGACTTGGGCAATCTGCATTACCGCGGCCATCTCTGCAGGACATGCTGTGCTTTAAAGACGAGTATGTGCAACCTCGTTAGGCAATGTGTGCCCGCTAAATGACAGTTGCACCTCCACTTGCCGTTTATTTTATATTTTTTTCTAAATATATATGTACACACACAGTACATAGAAAATAAAGCTTTTTATTATATAAGGAAGATGAAGAAAAGGTTACATCAAAAGGAAAATACCTCTCAAATGTCTAAATTTCCATATACCAGCTAGTTCCTAAAGAAATTAAAATGATAACTTCTTTCTCTACAGCTGAATTTTAACAATGTTGGTCATTGAAACTAAGTAAATATACATGAAATACCCCTTTCCTTGGTGATACCCACAAAATTCTTGAACAGTTTAAATATTTCATTCCTTTTTTTTTTTTTTTTTTGTACCAGGGATTGAACTCGGGTCCTTGTGCTTCCAAGGCAGGCAGTGGAACCACTGAGCTAAATCCCCGGCCCAAATACTTCATTCTTAATTTTGGATCTCTTTACCTTATAAGGAAGAATTTGAGGGACATGAATACACTATAACTTGAATGCATTCAGAAGTATTTGTACACTTAAAATTTTGCAAAAAATTTTCTACAGAAACAAAAATCAAAACAAAAGCCTTTACAGTATTGTTTTTGTTTTTTTTTTCTTTGCCAAATACATCGTTATATCATTGCTAATACTGCACTACACCTGCTAATTGTGTGTTTTCTCAGACTGTCAGTGGGGCAGAATTCAAAAATTCTGAGGCTGCAACATTAGTTTTGTAATGACTTTCTTTTAGACAAAATGTTACACAACACCAAAATACTCTTTATAAAGAACATAGAAAACTGCAGCAAAAACATTGTGTTTATCTTGTTGTTGTTGGTTTAGGAGAAGTCCGTTTTTCGTTCAGTAGTACATAATTGTTCATGATAGTTAACTGTCTAGAGTGGGTGTTTATGAATTGGAGCAGAGGTGGGCGGTTCAGTTTGTCCCAGTGGACTTGGTTTTAAACCATATTGGAGTATCAGTGGTATTTTTCATTTTCAGCAAATTACCAGGCTATTCATCAAGGAATTTATAACACTAAATTATTGTGTATTCATCACTAAAATGATTTGACGCTAACAATGGTTTTATTTGAACTCTACCTAATTCAATTTGGTAAATGTATTAGACTCATCCTGTATTTGGGTTTTATTTTAATGTGAATTTATGGCATCATTTGAAAAACTCAAATTTGTTATTAGAACCTGGTTCAAAATACCATAAGACTGTTACAGATACCAAGCATTCTTCATTCAGGACAATATAACATAGCTGATGATAGATGATATGGTTAAATAGTTTGATGATATATTTTATTTATAAAATATATGCTGCTGGTAATGCCATATGAAAAGAAATAAAGTCAATTGATAATTGACTCATGTTTTTATTGTCATCATTTAATTTGTCTTTGTTCAAAATAAAAAGTAGGGCTGGCATGGTAATGCACACCTAATCCCAGCACTCACAAGGCTGAGGCAGGAGGATCACCTTGAGTTCAAAGTCAATCTGGGCTACATAATGAGTTCAAGGCCAGCCTGAACTACAAAGTAGGACCCTGTGTTAAAAAGCAAATTAAGGGCTGGGGATTTAGCTCAGTGGTTCTGCTGCCTGCCTCGCAAGCTCAAGGACCCAAGTTCAATCCCCTTGGGGATTTAGCTCAGTGGTTCTGCTGCCTGCCTCGCAAGCTCAAGGACCCAAGTTCAATCCCCAGTATGGAAAACAAAAAAAAGAAAAAACAAATTAAAATGCAAACTCTAGTTTTTAAACTATAAAGTTTCTTGAGTAGTGTTCATAAATGAACCAACAGAGAGAAATTTGAGATCTTTGAGAAACTTGTGTGTGAAAGAAGATATATGCAACTGAGCTAAGAAATGAATTAGGAAAAGCATACAGAAACAACTTACCTGGAGATCTGAAGTTAGTTGTAGAAAGAGATATATGGAACCTGGTCTTGTTGGCATATGCCTGTAATCCCAGCACTTTGGGAGCTGAGGCAGGAGGTCAAAAGTTTGAGCCCATCCTTGGTGACTTAATGAGACACTCTCTTAAAATAAAAGGGGATAGTTTATAGTGTCAAGGCCCTTGATTCTGTCACCAACAGTGCAAAAAGAGCAAAGGAAGTAGGATAGCAGGTAGGATAAGCTGGACATGTTAGCCTGCACCTATAATCCCATCTATTCAGTAGGATGATGTAGGAGGTATCACAAGGTCAAGCCCCCATTCTGACAGTTTAGCAGCTTAGCAAGGCCCTTTCTCAAAATTTAAAATATACCCAAAAAAGTCTGGAGATGTAGCTCAGTGTGAAGGCCCTGGCTGATTTGATCCCCAGTGACACACAAAAACAAAAAGTAGAATGAATATAGCCTAGAGAATAAAAGCTGTTTTGTGTGGCATTTACTATCTCTAACTTAATAAAATACAACCCTCCCAAATGACAAACAGGGAATCTCAATGTTTGTTTAGGTATATGTCTATATACTTAGCTATACCAAGGAAGCTGTAGAGGTGAGGAAACTGGCCATTTTAGCAGATGACTTCATTGCAGAACTTTCCCTCTACAGAGGAAGAAATTCTGCACAACATTCACATGTGTGATATTTGGGAGCAATATTGACTGGGATACAGAAAATGGGGCAGAAAGCATCACAACAGGTGGCTCTGGAGAACAACAAAGAAATTCTTGGTGTCTGTGAGGTGGCCAGTGATGCTATAGTTCATGCAGCTCAAAAACTGAAGGAGTATCTCGGATTGGAGTATCCTCTGAGTAGACTCTGCCCAGCTGCAAATACCCTGAATGAGATCTTCTTAATCCACTTCATCACTTTCTGTCAAGAAAAAGGAGTTGATGAATGGCTTACTACCACCAAGATGACCAAGCACCAAACCTTACTGTTTGGGGCAGACTGGATCTGGACCTTTTGGGGATCCGATAAGCAAATAAGGCTTCAGCTTGTCGTACAGACTCTGCAAATGACTTCTCTTCCTCTAGTAGAGCCAAAGCCTTGTGATCTCTTCAATCCACAGTCAAGGCCAGAGGAGTCTTCCTGGAAGAAAAGTAGATTTGATAAGCTGGAAGAATTCTGTAACTTGATAGGAGAAGATTGTCTGGGCCTGTTTATCATCTTTGGTGTGCCAGAAAAACCTAAAGATGTCAGAGGAGTCATCCTAGACAGCGTTAAAAGTGAGATGCTGAGGAGCCATCTGCCAGGACAGAAAGCTGTGGAACAATTTGTCCTGGATACTCAAGAGTGTGTCTCCATGAGAGAGCTGCTCGGAAACTATCTGAGTAAGAAAGACGGGCTGAGAGAGGTGGGCAAGGTTTATATTCGCATCCTCTGAACTGGATTTGTGTGAGGTGACTGGCATGTAAGATAAAAAGCAAGTTTTATTTTCATGAACAAGATCATCTACTTAGATCATTGACTGAAAATGATTACTTGGATCAAAACATGTTAGTGTCACAGTTAAAGAACAAAAACTGGCCATGTTTCAGAAACACTTGTGATTTAATTTGACCTTTCTTCATTATTCAATAATAAAAACTGGGAGAAAGGATAATAAAGTCAAACAAAAAATTTGATTTGCAAAACAAAGTATCTTTTAAATAGTAAATATAACACTCAAAAGTTGAAAGAGTTTTTAAATTGCTGTTGGTGGGAGGTGGGTAAGGAGGGCTGTGGGATAGACTACAGAGCAGTTTGCAATGCCAGTTTAAATTCACATGTCTCTTATTTTCTGGCCTACACTCCTGCTGCCTTCTAGCTGCTCTGCATGGAAAGGACTTTGGTGGATTTATTTTGGGATTAAATTGTTAGCTTTACTCACCATTTAAAAACAGCCACCCATAGAACAGTTCCTTGTTATAATAATGTTTGTTAATATTTAGAGTAAGGAATGTGTACTCAGAGAATAGCCATTTTTGCTTCACAGCTTGTGTGGGATTTAATAGTACTAGAAAGAAGCACCACTGAATTCATTAGGCAGCCCAGATTCTCTACATACATTATTATTGCACATGTATCCTCTGTGACTTTAACAGGCATTTGTTTCTGTTTGACAAAGTAAAGAGGTTAAATAATTCCTTCAGTTATAAAGCTGCTAAGTAGCTTAAAAAATTAAAGTCTGGGGCCAGGGATTTAGCTCAGTGGTTCTACCACCTGCTTTCCAAGCGTAAGGTCCTGAGTTCAATCCCCGGTACCAAAGAAAAAAAAAGAAAAAGTTTGTCCATTTACAAAGATGTATGTTAGAATCATATAAAGAAAATTATTTGAGCCGGGCATAGTGGTGCACACCTGCAATCCCAGCACTTGGAAGGCTGAGGCAGGAGGATCACTGTGAGTTCAAGACCAGCCTGGACTACATAGTGAGTTCCAAGTCAGTCTCAACTACATAGTGAGACCCTGTCTCAAAAAAAAAATTGATTTGACTCTAATCTGCTACAATTGCTGAGACCACAAAGATGATTACCTACAAAGGTGCTGCTTAATTGCTGTTGCCTTTTTTCTTTCTTTCATTTCCTGGCCTTACTCTGCTGCTGTCTCCAGCTGATGAACGGCATCTTCACCGAGGTGCAGCTCTTACAAAGCATGAGCCGAATCTCAACTGCAACTAAACCCTGAAAATGTTTTCTGACAGTCTTCTATGGCCTTTGCTCTATTTTGGAATTTAAGGCACTTATTGTTAGGTCCAGTGGGTCTGGCATCTAGAGGTCTCATTTTCATTCTCCAATGCAGAAGGGAGTCAGAACAGAGGACCAGTTCAAAGTGAAAGTAATTTTATTGTAGATATTGCAAAAGGAAATGATAAAGAGCCACAGAAGTGGTGGGGCCCAGAGCTGGGATGCTGCGGAATCTGGAGCTTCAATGCTGTTTTGTGGGCTTAGGGGTCCTGCCTCCTCCAAGGGTCACTATTATACGCAGCTAAATTAGGTACAAATATTGTAGGCAGTCAGGCATGGCGAGGCTTTTGGGGATCAATGCAAAAGATGAAAACATCACAGATGTTCAGGGGCACATCTGTTGGAAGCCAGTCCTCAAAGATGAGAGGACAAGACTATACACTTCCCAAGGGATACGCGGCCATACCCTGCCCAGTGAAGTCTACATAGACCTCAGTCACCCCAGTGGGTGACCAAGACCTCCAGATCCATCGTTTCCTATAAATGTTCTTTACTCTTCCCACATACTCTTGCTTTGTGATCTTCCCCATTACCTAAGAGCTATGCTTATAATCTTATTGGTTGATCATAGTTTCATCTCACATTGTACCCACCTTGTGGCTCTTCCCCTGTGAAGTAGGGTTCCTGACAACCTATCCAGATGCCCTTCTGCCTCTCAGGAGCTAAAATCTCCCTTTCAATAAATATTTCCTACTCAACCTCCATTCTTTAAAATTCATTCTTTGATTTTAGGGAACACGAACTCAGTGAATCTGACGTCTAGCAGGTCGGGAGTTAATTCCCCTATATTATTTAGAGGCCCTATATCATCACTACCTGATGGGTTATTGTACTTGTTGCTAGGGGCCTAGTTTTGGTGGACTAAGAGGAATTCTGATGGGAGAAGTAACCACTTTAAGAGGTGCTTATATCAGTGTAGCTACATAGGTGTCAAAACCACATGCTCTCAACTCAGTGTAACTATAGAAGTGGTCTCAAAACCATGAGCTGTGAGCTGCTTTTTGAGATGCAGAGGCCCCTCCTTCCTACCTCTTAAAGGGGTCCAGTCCCCTAAGCTGACTCTACCCAGAGGTCCCTAAATTATGAAGCTGATTAGCCATATGAGGATAGTTTGATAAAGACAGTGTATATCAGTCTTTCTGGGCTACTATCCAGAGAAAGAAACACTTGTGATCTGTATGACTGGAACTTGTTGCAGGACACTCATTTTCTGTACTGTGACACTGTTTTAAGTGCTTATTGCAAGCCACTAACTTTTTATCAGAACCACCTAATAGGTCAAAATCCAGAATTGCAAGAACTTTGTTGTGATGGAAGGGATGAGATCAAAACTGAAATCCAAGCTCTTAGGGAGTTTCTACTTTAATGGTGGAAGACAGACAATAAATATATTTAAAATGTATATTTTTTATTTATTTGTTTGTTTGTTTGTACCAGGAATCAAACTCAGGGCCTTGAGCTTGCCAAGCAGGCACTATACCACTGAGCTACATCCCTGGCCCTAAAATGTATATTTAGGAACTAGCAACAATGTAAGGAAAAGATGAATGGAGGTTGAAGAGGGAGGTCTGAATGAGGAGAGGTAGACTCAGCACAGGCAACTGGGAAAGTGTCTAGGCCCAGAGAACTGCAGGGACAAGAGCCTGGAAGGAGAGGGATCTGATGTGACAACAGACCCGTGATGAATGTTGGAAGCAACAGACATGCTCAGCACCCTGGTTGGGTCATGGCGCAGTGTACAGTATACATGTATCAGAACATCATATTGTATCCCATCATAAATACGTGCAATTATGATGTAGCCGTTAAACATCAAAGCTCTAAAAAATAATCTTGCTCCCAGATTGGAAAGACACAGGAACATATGCAAGCAGTGAAATAAATTTGCCTTGGACATTCCTTCATCCTAAGAAACAAAAAAGTTAAGGCAAGCATTTCAGTCCTCTGTGGGTCGGTAAACTGGGCATGAACAGACCCTGGAGTCATCTCTTGAAGTTAAGTATAATCCTGCTTTGAATATCCCTGGAAGGCTACCCCACCAATTCATGTTTCTTGGTGTATAATGACCCCGTCAGTATGAATGCTGTACAGAATAGTGTAGTAGAGTAAAAATACCCAATTTGGAATCAGATGTGAGTTTGAGTCCCAGGCTCAGAAAAGTAGTCATGTGCCTTGGCTCTTTGTCTTCTTACATGTAAATGGGGATGGCTTCAACTAACTCAAAAAAGACAAAATTTGTGAAATATGTTATGTATTAAAATTAAGTTACCCCAATTTCACAGAACTAAGTACTCACAAATAGCTGGAAGCTAAAAATCAAAGATTTACTTATTTTTTTCTTAAGTGAAAATAAAAACGTGAAGCTTTTGCTGATATTAAAAACACTGCATCAGGCCAGTGACATGTATCTGTAACCCCTCCTTCTGAGAGGCTGAGGCAGAAGGATCATAAGTTCAAACCCAGCCTGGACAACTTAGCAACTTAGTGACACCCTATCTCAAAATGAAATAACGTAAAGTCTGGGAATGGAGCTCAGTGCAAAGGCCTTGGATTGAAACTCTCTACAAAAATAAAATTAAATTTAAAATTTTGAATTATAGAAGTGAAATTTGAGTACAGAAAGCAGTCGTTGGGCATCTCACCTCCACCCCTGTGGTGGTTTAGATTTCAAATACCTCTTGTGTTCTGAGGTGACTGGATTGGGGGTGCTACCGATGGCTTGCTGTTACCAGGTGAGGTCTGATTGGAGGAGATTGGTCACTGGGGGTGTGTCCGGTAGAGGGTTGATCTCTTCCTTTTCCTCCCTTCTGTCTACTTCCTAGCTTCCATTGAAGCAGGATTTAGAGAAGAACAAGCTCTTCCCAGTGCCCCCCCCTTGTAGCTGTAACTCCTTATTCTGGTAAAATTGACAACTATGACCTGTAAACAAAGTTTATGACATTCTGCTCTCATGTGATTCATAAGACTCTGTCTTCTTACAAGGCTGAATTACAAAATTGCCCTTGTCCAGTTCCAGTAAACTCACTACATCACTAGAAAAACCACCACCCCGCTTTGATCAAATTATAAAAGCTAGAACTTTTCTTTGTTCAATGCTTTTCCTTTAAACAGGAGTTTGTTGAGCTCCTAAACCTGAGAGAGATCTTTCTGATTCCAATTGATAACTCCTGTCTTTTGGATTTTGCAACATTTCTGGTGACCAGAAGGCACTAGAGAGGATAGAGTTGCTGTCTTCTTTGCCTGCAGGCATGAGAGGGGCCTGAGCTATGGGAATCCTGAAACCTCGGGTACCACCAGATGAGACTTCAGTTTTGAGAATGAATCAGCCCTCCCACAGCCCATAACCCATCCCTCACCCCCAACCCCTGCCACCAACACAATGGAACCTGTTGGGATTCTGGGTGATTCTGGAACAACAGCACACTACAGGTCCATAGTAAGGTTTCAGGGTCCAGAAAAAACCTGTTCCCTTAGGATGGCAGGGGAGTAATCTGATATAGACTGAGTCAGATAAAACCTACAATCCCAAGTGGAACACAGGGCTGGCCTGAAATAAGAGGGACTCTTGTGGGAGAGGCCCACAATGAGAATGGTTCAGAAAAGGTTCACAAAAGTTTTTGAAAAAATAATGGGAATAGAGAAGTACATGAGTACACATGAA